CTAAATAAAAGGCATTGTCTCATGCTCTACTGTGCTCCAGCTGCAACACGCTGACAGCCCGCAGAGAGAGAACATGCATACTGATGCACTGAGGTCTCTGTGTTTTTTATTTTCGCCGGCTTCCTCATCCCTCTTTCAAGGACTTGCAAACTCGACTGGAGCTGGTCTCCAGCATTTTTACATCAGGAATGCAGCTTTAAAAAAGAAGTTAAACAAGCATGCAGTATTTTTAAAATCAGCAAAACTCTTTTTAAAATCAGCAAAAGCTTCACATTTTTATTTTCACTTAGAAAAAAACATGGTGAGTCTTTGATAGCTTTCCGCTGTTTGTAACATGAACACTTATTTGTTCTGTGTTCTCTGAAATTCTGATAGGCTTACATTTTAGTATATAAAATATTTTCACAAGTTTTCTCATTTTTAAAATCAGCAAAACTTCACATTTTTATTTTCACTTAGAAAAAAACATGGTGAGTCTTTGATAGCTTTCCGCTGTTTGTAACATGAACACTTATTTGTTCTATGTTCTCTGAAATTCTGATAGGCTTACATTTTAGTATATAAAATATTTTCACAAGTTTTCTCTCCGAATTAATTGATGTCATTTCCATTTTACAGATAAAAAAAACAGACTAAGAGTTAAGCTATTTGGCTCTGCTGTTAAGAGAATGGAGAGTCAAGTCCACATCTGATTCCAAGTTGAATATTCTTTTTACTCTGTTAACACCATCTTCTTGATAGCTTAATCTAAACAGCATCCTGCAGACAGAATTCACTATACACAAAGGAAATATTAATTGACTGGGTACTATAACCTTCCAGAGGTTCAAAGTAGGAATAATTTTTACTTACCAACTTCTAGACATGCCTCCTGGACCTGTTCATGTCCAGTTTACTGAAGGCAGAGGGCTAAAATGCTTTTCTTGATCTTTTGGTTTCTTGGTATGGGGGAATGTCAAAAACAAATGTATTTCTGCCCTTGCATATATTCTTAAGAAGTTTGGAAATCCTGCATTCTAATTGCAGCATGTCATACGCCGCCATCCAATCATCAGCAAATGCTGTATGCTTTACTGTCAAGTGTGTCCTAAATCTCACCTCTTCACCCCTCCCCCATCTACCACCTTGGTCCAGGCTCCCTTTTTTCTCTCATCTGGGTTACTGTAATAGCTTCCTAGCTGCCCACCTGGGCTCCGCCTCTTCTCTCCCTTCCAGCTAGTCTCTACCTAGCAATCCAGCAAGGTTTTTAAAATGAGTCAGATCAAGGCATTCCTTTCCCCATGTCACTCAAAATAAAATCCAGAGTCCTTACTTGGGTTTACAAGAAGTTTGATTGTCTTCATCCATTTGCAGGCTAATTCTCCAAACTCATCTCCTACCACCCTTCCCCTGGCTCACTCTGCTCCGTCCACACCAGCCTCCTTTCCCAGACACCTGCACTGATGCTGCCTTTCTTCATTCACATTTCTGGCCAATTGCCCCTCCTCACTGAGGCCTTCCTTCACCACCCAGTATAAAATAGCACCTCCTTCACCGACTATCCCCTTATTTATGTACGTATATTTGTTTATTGTGTGTCTTCCACCATTAAGATAGAAACTCTGTGAGAGTATGGACTTTGTTCTTGTCATTGCTGGTTTCGGAGTGCATAGAACAGGCTCTCCATGTAACAGGCATTCAGCAATTATGTGTGAATGAGTCTATCTTCCATTTACGCTTTTAAACCTTTATTTATTTTTTTGCAACATAGTAACCCGAATTGCAAAAGCTGAGCTTGACTCTTTGCTATTGGAGATCTTACCAACAGAAAGAGGAAACGGACTTCTCTACCAATATTCCTTTAAAAAAATTATTTACTTTTAATGAACAAATAATAATTTGTGTACATGAATACTTCATCTTCTTTATTGCAGTATTCAACACTGTACTTCATGTTAATTTGCAGTGCAGGACAACTGCAAGGCTGCAGAGGTGCTCTTCTTTCTTCCCACCTCCTCAAGGAGCAGGCTGTGGGGGGAATAAACAGCGAGAAGAGGGAAAACAAAGCCATCTCTGGAAGCCAAAGAGGCCTCATACCCTTTTCTTCTTTCCGGAGTAACGGAGTATCACAAGGGCTATGAAAACTCCCTTCTTCTCTTCCCCCAGGACTTCTTTGAGTGATAAAGCTTAAGAAGGGGGCTTGTGTTTCCTAATGTTTCAAGGCTTATTGGAATGTGAAGAATACTGCGATCAGAGGAAAGAAAACAGGAGCTGGCTCTTCAGGCTAAATAGACTGAAGTTAAGATGTGCCTCTGTGTTCTAGGTGAATCTGTTTACTGTGCTGAATGAAGAGTCAAAGAGAGGATTTAGAATTCTGTCCTAAGCACTGTGATTACTTTTAATTTTATGTAACTAACAGCAGTCCTGTGAGGTAGGTATTGTCATTTCCAGTTTTTAGGTGGAAAAATCAGGAGGTATTAGGTTTCCAGAAGAAATCAAATGGCACACTCAAAAGGTTTACTAAAGGAAAAGGACATCGATGAAGGTGGGGGCAGGGTTCAGGGACTAAGAAAGGATGGTAAAGCACATGGGAACTGGCAATGGCCTGGAAAGGAAAGGGGAGTGAGCTGGAGTCTCAGAGGAGGGTCAGCTGGACTAGAGCTGTCTAGAACCAAGGTGGTGAGGCAGGGAAGGAGTTGGGTAATAAATTTCCAGCCTCCCCCTTCTCTGGTTTTGTACTCTCCATTGGATACTCCGAACTGGAAGCCATAGGGCAGGGGAGCCCAGGTGATGCAGACAGAGCCCAGAATAAGGCTTAGAAGGTGGGGAGTTTATGTGCAAATGGGGGAGCCAGGATTTCATTGAGGTTTGACCTCAACCAAACTCAAAAGCTATCGTCCTTTCCACCATGACAACGTTTTTAAAACTCTGGATTGTGACCTATTAGTGGTCATATCCATTTAGTGGCTTGCAAACAGCATTTTAAAAAATTACATAGAACAGAAAATAGAGTATACTGCAACATGTTTCAGTCATACAGATCACAACCACAAATGTATTTCTTGCTTTGAATAGCAGATGGTTAAGATTAAAATATACTGCATGACACCAAGTTGCCCTCATGTGTCTTAAGTCAGCCTCAGAAGTGTGCCCTAAATCCCAAATACAGAAAGGGCCAAGGCCATGGGAAGACTGTGAGAAACAAAAGACATTTCAAGAGTTTGGATGCAAGTTGAGAAGATGTGACCCAAGTTTTGGAAGAGCTGCACATCAGTGAGTAGGTCATTCACCAACAGAAGCAGCAGCAGATTAAGGTCAGAAAGTGGAGAAGAAATGAGCGATAACAACCAGCTAGCATCTTTGCATATGAACATCTTTGTGGTCTCAGCAATTCCAGTAGCTTAGAGTCAAAGAAGTTTCTTTATATGACTCTAGAAAAGAGTATGGGCTATGTAACTGGACAGACCTTGCTTTTTTGTTATGAGCCACTTAACAGCTGTATGAAGTTATTTAACCTCTTATTGGGAGTTATTTAACCTCTCTAATTTGTCAAATAGAAAACAATATCTGCCTCTTAGAGTTGCAGAGGATATATGTAAATTGCGATATTATATGTAAAAACATCTGGCCTGGCATACACGTTCAATAAATAATGGTGATTCCTCTTTGTACTGTTATAATCCCACCTAGACTTTTAAGCAAAAATGGTTGTTATATGTGAATACACTTTACTGCAAATTCTAAACAAATACTAATTACTATTGAGGAATTGTTATATGGGTGAGTGTTTTTAAATGATAAATAAACCTAACACTTAAGTGAATCCCACAGTAAATAATCCCACCAAAGTCCTTTCTGTGCAGAAAAAGCAGCTAGGTGGAGGCAGTAAGAGAAAGGGGTAGAGGAGAAGAGCAGTGTGACCTTTTGCTTAGGAGTACTGAATTGAAACTGTTAGTCTTACCTAACACCACCTTACCCTACCAGGTGTAAAAACACATTTTATACTTTCAAGTGCTAGACTTATTATTTCAAACAAGGGCACTTTTTTTTTTTCCAAATCAAACTTTAAGCATAACTTTATTATCTCTCCTCCCATTTTTATTGTTGAATAAATGAATGAAAGATTAAACTAAATCATAAGTTTTCTTGAAATAGGGCTGGGATTTTTTTCTCTCCATAATTGTGACACTAATATGCTTTGACCCAGGTAATGATTTTCAATCAATGGGAAAAAAGAGAAAAAAGAAAAAGCCCATGCTGGAATAATACAGGTATATGAGCTTGCTTATTAGAATAAAGTTTTCTTTTCATTTTACACACCAATCGCATCACACATATCCAATTCAGAAGATGCTAATGTAAACCTTGCCCAGCTCTCTCAGCCCCTCTTTCTTACTCAGACAGTTTCCAAGCAGCTCTTTGATGGAGACACAATCTTCAGTTTCCAGGACAAATTGTGCTAGGGCCTTCCCTCCTGGCAGATGGCCCCTCATCATCTGACTTTTGACACTGTCCAGAACAACTCCTCTGATGTCTTTGGGCTCTCCTGGCACACCAAAGATGATAAACAGGCCCAGACAATCCTCTCCTATCAAGTTACAGAATTCTTCCAGCTTATCAAATCTACTCTTCTTCCGGGAAGGCTCCTGTACTCTTGATTCTAGATTGGAGAGGTCACAGGGCTTAGATTCCACAAGTGGAAGAGAAGACATTTGCAGAGTCTGCACTGCCAGCTGAAGCCTTATTTGCTTATCGGATCCCCAAAAGGTCCAAATCCAGTCTGCCCCAAACAGTAAGGCTTGGTGCTTAGTCATCTTGGTGGTAGTAAGCCACTCATCAATTCCCCTTTCTTGGCAGTAAGTGATGAAGTGGATTAAGAAGATCTCATTCAGAGTATTTGCAGCTGGGCAGAGTTTGCTCAGAGGATATTCAAATCCAAGATACTCCTTCAGTTTCTGAGCTGCATGGACTATAGCTCCACTGACCACTTCACAGATGCTGAGAACCTTATTGCTGTCCTTCAGAGCCAAAGGTTGTGATGTTTTTTGCCCCATTCTCTCGGCAACCAATCAATGTAGCCCCCAAGTATCAAACACGTGAACCTTGTTCAGAATTACTTTTTTAGAGTGAAAGTTCTGCAGTAAAGTCACATCTGTTAATATGGTACAGCTTACTCGGTGTAGCTAAGCATATATATATATACACAGCTAAGCAAACATGTTAGGTCTCCCTGTTTGTCAACTGGGTGTGTTGTATTCATACTGATTCCTCCTGGTTTATTAAGTTAGAGATATATACACAGCTAAGCAAACATGTTAGGTCTCCTTGTTTGTCAACTGGGTGTGTTGTATTCATACTGATTCCTCCTGGTTTATTAAGTTAGAGATATTAAATTTCACACAAAACATCTGTTCTTCTCTAGGTTGTATTCACTCTACTTTTAATCTTTGGTAATCTCTTCAAAGATATGTTTCCTCTTTCCAAAGTTCAGTTAAATTAAAAATAGTATGTCAGTTCTTTAAATATCATATCCCTCCAACAACTAACTTTTCAGATTCTTCCTTTTGCTTTTCCTGTATCCCCTCTGCTGTGATTCCTCATCCCCCAGCTCAGTTGCCTGTTTCCTTTCATACAAAAGTTTCTCAAAGACCTAAAATTTCTGTCTGTTGATACATGTTATGAACCCCACTGAAACAAATTTATGGGTGTTTACAGATTGTAAATAGTTTGTGTTGTTTTCTATATCAGAAACAAAGCCTATTATTGTGAACAAAGGAAAATTAAGGAATGCCAATAAAAATATGAGACTATTATCAATTGACTTTATTTCTTTTTATATGGTATTACCAGCACTATATACTTTGTAAATAAAATATATCATCAAAAATTTTTTAAGCTTACCACAAATCATCAATTATGTTATATTGTCCTGAATAGAGAATATTTGGCATCTGTAACAGTCTCCTGGTATTTTTAACCAGGTTCTAATAACAAATTTTGAGTTTTTCAAATGGTGACATATATTCACATTAGAATAAAACCCAAATACAGTAAGAGTCCAATACAGTTACTAAATAATGAATGGTAGAATTCAAAGGAAATTATTACTAGCATCAAATCATTTTAGTTGTGAATAAATAGTAATCTAGTATTACAAGTTCCCTGATGAATAGCTTGGTAACTTGCTGACAACTTAAGAGATATCACTGATACTGAAATATAGTTTATAACCGAGCCCATTGGCATATAATGAACTGCCCACCTCTATCTACCCCAATTTGTGAAAACTTGTCTTTTCCACAGTGTGCTACCATGAAAATTCACATGAGTAATTATGTAGCACTGAATAAAAATAGAAGATTTTTTCTAATACTCCTAAAAAATAATAAACACAATAACGGTTTTTGCTGCAGCTCCTGTTTTCTTTATAAGGAATATTTGGGCCCTATGCTTCAGAAAAACATGAACTACCTTTTATCATCACAAAATAGCCATTATAAAGCTAATTTGGCAGACTCAGAGTTTTTGAACTCTGATTAAAACAAAATATTCAGACAAATATTCAGCTTTTTAAAAAGTCTCATTCATTTTAAAAGTCTGAGAAATGTACAATTAACATGTTTAGGCAGACTCTTAGTATTTTAACGTAATAATGTATTCAGCAAAGAGGAAAACAAGAAATGTAATACTGTAAAGGTTTTTGTTTTGTTTTTGGTTTCTATAGAAATTATTTCTACAATTTTTGCAGGGGAGTTCTAAATGCATTCAAGTCAACAGTATATTAATGTCCCTCAAGTTCTTCCTTTTGAGGTAAAAGGATTCAAGATTAAGGATGAAATAGTTAAACTGTTCAACAATTTTATGGTGTATCATCAAAGAAGGGGCATTTCATATATATTAATTTAGTCTGTTAAAATTCACTTGTGGAAAAGATCATCTGACTTCTTCAGGAACCAGCTGGTATATGAAAATTTTGCTCACCATATTTTTTTTTTTTTTTTTTTTTTTTACCACCTTCTAACCAACTGAGCTGACCAACCAGCCCCCTTTTGGGTTATTTTATTTATTTATTTAAAATTAATTTTTCTTTGGGGTTATTTGAAAAAATTTTTAGAATAACATTTTCAATTCATTTTATGAACTTACTGTTAGATTGTTGATGCCTTCGGAGAATGCACCTATCTGTCTCACTGTTCCTTCTGAATCTTCCATCTGCAAAGAACAAACCATAACATGACATACTCATTTTCATAATTTCAAGGAAAGTGCAGCAAAATGAACAAAAGCCTAAGAAGAAATAATACAAATGCTATTTAATGAGGTATGAGCAACAGAACGCTTTTGATGACTATCTCCTCTTCTTACTACAATTGGAAGTGAAAAATTAGAAGAAACACTTTACTGGCACATGTAGCCTAATGACTTTGACAATGGTGCCAAAGGACTCTTGATTAGACAGCAATGTGTGGTCCCATAACTTGAATCTGAAAAAGCTAAGTAGTATGACCTGTCCATTCCTAAATTGTTTTAATACATAGATTTCCTTATATAGAGATAGTGTAATAGGTAAATAACACAGGCTTTGGAGCCAGCCTGGCAGGTTGGTTACCTTGGGCAAGTTACTTAACTTCTCTGTGCCTCAGTTTCCTCATCTCTAAAATGAGGATAACAGTACTCCCTGTGTTTTGAGACTACCATGAACATTAATATACATTAAGTGCTTAGGATGGTACCTGGAACATAGTAAGCAATCTGTAAGCATTCACTAATATTTTATTATCTGTATTTTTAGTTATTTAAGAAAATGTCCTTGATTAGTAGACGCAGTGTACAAGGTTTCCATTTAGTAGTGTGGGAATGCTGGAAGTACTTTAAAAGAGGCATAGCATTGCATGTACCTGCTCTAACCGGTCCAAATCATCTTCATCATACAGGCGCATGTCCAAGCCAGGTTTAAATCCTTTCTTAGCTGCACTTCCTGATGCCTGTCCCAATTCCATTGGACAAACATATTCTTCTCCATCTTCCTGCTTCTTCTTTCTCAGATTCCCAAAATTGCTGAAGGTAAGTTTCTTTGGCTTTAAAAGAAAAGCAAGCAAAAATATCCAGGGATTTGATAAAATTCATAAAATAAAGGAACAACATCATGTATAATTTAATTGTTCATCCCATCATATAGAGAAAAGGAAGTGGGGGCTGTCTGGTTAGCTCAGCCTAACCCCATTTGGCTGGTTAGAGTGTCGTGCCAATAACACCAAGGTCAAAGGGATTTCTTAAGGATGAATCCAATTTTGCAAGGTGTTCCAGTCTAAGATCAGTAAAAGAAAATGGTCCTTACTATATTTTCTTTTTGAGTGAGGCTATGATTATCTTGTATGCCTTTTCTGCTTCCATAACAGGACTGGTGACTGCTAAAGGAATTCACACTCCTTTGAAAAGAAAACTTCCAGTGTTACTTAAAAGAGAAACTCCATCTTAGTCACTGGATAGTCCCTGAGACTACCTGTTAAGGAAATGGTACTCAGACCAATGACTGAGAATTAAAATATAACAGACTGTCAAAAATTTCAAGTCTGGCATATCTTTTAAAGGAGATAAGAATCTAAAAAGAAAGTGCTCATGCAGACAGAGTCAAAACAAAACAGAAAAACCCAACTTGGTACATATTTCTAGAAGAGCTGATAAACCCTATCTCCACATTAAGTTGGTTGAGATACATATTTAGAAGAGTTAATGAATGTAGGAAATGATTTAAAAGAAGAAAATGTAATCTGATTCACGAATGATCCACAAACCCTGGTAAATTAGGAAATATCCATTCTCTGCTGGTCTACCTTGAATCATTTAAATATCCTTTCCTAACTTTCGAGGCTGGCCAATTATAAGCCAGACAAGCTGAATCTGTACAAAGAGAAATCTTCCTCTTAGCTTGATTTATTCATGGGGAAAACAGGACAATTGCAATCAATATCTGGACGCAAATCATGGGCTCTCTGCATTGGCACACGTGGATTATAGAAGCCAACATCATGCTCTTTATTATTGTTAACTCTAATAAAATAAATGATTTGAGCAAAAATTTTCAAAAATGCATTTTCCTAATTACCTTCAACCATTTACAAAACTTAGTAAACTCCAGAAAGTACTATACCCAGGTAACAGTTGAAACTGAGCCTTTGCTTCAGGCAATTATTAAAATGCTTGAACTGACCTTCACTTTGGCAGTAGCTGTTAGAAGTACATAATCTGGTAACTCCATGGCATCTCGCTTCTGGTGTTGGGCCTCAGCACCCACCAGAAGGTTGAAATGAGTGGCCAAATGTCTTCGCAACAAGGTCTTATTTGGTGGGATGTTCAATAACTGAGCCATTGTTTCTACATTAAAACGAGGTTCTAGGACCTGCAAGAAAAATTAAGATGGTTAAAAGGTTCCATAGATCGTACATGTTTGTATTGCGCTTTATGGTTTGCAAGGCTCTTTCATTTAAGTTATCCCTATGACCTTCTCAAAAGCCCAGTGAGGTAGATAATGTATGGACTTTGATCTGAAATTTACATATCTTTTATTTTGCCCAAGTTAGCGAGTGGGGGAGCTGGTCCTGAAATCCAGGCTTTGGTCATTACAATGTTAGTGCTTCTGTCTCTCTGAAGTACTACTGCCTTTGGAAGCTGACTCCTTATGCAACATCGATGTGCAGAAATACAATCTATATCTTTGCAGGGGTTTTAAAACACTATCATCTGAGAGAAAGTGGCTAGATGTTATTCAAAATGAAAGAAGCTAATAAAAAAAAATGGGTTTGGGCCGGCCCGGTGGCGCACTCGGTAGAATGCGGCGCTTGGGAGTGTGGCAGCGCTCCCGCTGAGGGTTCGGATCCCATATAGAGACCGGTCCGCTCACTGGTTGAGCGTGGTGCGGGTGCGACACCGAGGGTTGCGATCCCGTTGCCGGTCATGGTACGGGCGCGACACCATGGGTGGCGATCCCGTTACCGGTCACGAAAAAAGACCAAAAGGAAAAAAAAATGGGTTTAAACCCAATCTGGAGTTATATAACAAAAATACTCTGAAAGTAAAGATTCAGTGTAGGAAAGCTGGATTAGATGACTTTAGGATTATGACAAGCACACTGATAATATCCTACTCATTAGACTAAAGGAAACGAAATAAGTGAAGTTTAAATTGAAAGAGTTTTACCATGAGCCCACCATGGACACCACTGCCTCTGAGATTGGGGGCATATTCTGCCAAGTCCACGGAGCGCAGCCACTCCATCACTCGGTGGTTGGTCCACTGCTGAACCTCCGAGGGTGTGATGCTATTCTGTGGGAACAAAGAGCCACCAAGAGCTTCAGGTACTAACTACAGGATCCTAAATTTTAAACCTGAATTAAACCTGAATGTTCTGTCTAAAAAGTCGACCCCATGGAGCACAGTTACTAGACATCACACTAAATGTTTAAAGAAGGGTGAAGAGCTAATTTGAATTCTCTTTTAAAGAATTTATGTCACAGAGTTTCAAGCTTTCTTACACACTAATAAAGCATTGCTTTAAGAAAGGAAGCCTTAAAATTGATATCTGTGGATTAAGGAGGCAGGAAAAAAAATACACCTAAGAAAAGGTGGACATATAACTGAGAAAGAATTCTTGGCTTTAAACAAGTGGAACCATCATGGGGAGAAAAGGAAGGAATACAAAAAAACAAAGCCTAAGAAGTAAATGGGGGCCGGCCCAGTGGCGCACTGGAGAGTCCCGCCGAGGATTCGGATCCCATGTGGAGACCGGTTCCCTCTCACTGGCTGAGCGCGGTGCAGGCGCAACACTTAGGGTTGCAATCCTGTTGCCAGTCCCCGGTACGGTCGCGACACCGAGGGTTGCGATCCTGTTACCGGTCAGTAAAAAAGACAAAAAGGAAAAGAAAAAAAAAAAAAAAAGAAGTAAATGGGGTTGGATTCAAAGCTCTGAGGAGACCAGCTTTTCCTGCAGGCCCTAAGAAGAAATGGATGTTAGTGTGCACCCACGGACAGTCATGTGCACAAAACGTGCACACTTGAAAACCTCAATCTCAGTCTAAAATGCTACCTCGTCAGATGGCCGTCTCCGTAGACAGTTTGGCTCAAAGTTATTGATCCTCAGGACCTGGATGGCCCTTTTGATACTGAGGTGGTGTAGCACACTCACAACCTTCAAAGATAGTAAGTCATCCTGAAAAAAAAATAAAAAATGACTAAAGGAGGAGCTCACTGTGTGGACCGACAAGGAGGATCTTCTTAGGGAAATCTCAGAAAACTAGAGTGAAAGTACAAGTGCCCCTCAAACCAAAATGCCCCAAGGGCTTGCCAGTGTTTTCAAAGCTTTTATTTAGTAAGAGAACCCTTTTTTCTGCTCCAAACAAAATCCTCTCCAAGACCCTAAATGAGTGTTGTTCCCAGTGAAGCTGACTTCCACCTGTCTCTCTCTACATGCTCTGAAGTAGGATTCTGGAACCCCAGGACTCTGAAAAACACATTCTGAAAAGCACTCACAAAAGGTGATCTGCTTTGATTTGATTTGCACATACTGTAAACAAAGAAATTTCTTTGTTTCTTCTTTAGTTTTGAGAACTTTGTAGATAAAGCAGATATGTAGGCACAATTAAGGGCACTGGCCAAACTGCACTCTCTTTTCTTTTCAGCAGATAGCTAAGAGCAAGAGATGTTCATTGATGATCAAGGCTTGGTTTTCTGAATGAAGGCATATCACAGTTTTGGGGGAAATCAAACGAGTGTTCTTGTTACACTGTTCCCTGACTTCAAGAATTCTCTAGTTCTAATTTATTACGCTTTATCTAGCAGACATTGTGAACAATTTAATAAAAACTATCTCAATCAGTGCATAGGTTTTGGTGAGAGTTAAGGAGAGAAGAGAAATGAAGTTATAAGTGTCACATATATCACCAATCTACCCCTTCAAGGAAAAACCCACCAGTCTGTAGCTACTGGGAACATTTTTCAAATATACCAAACACATCAAAACAAATTACTTCAGAAGGTGATTTGGGGGGCAGTGTCCAGATAAGCACCCTTCTACTTCCAAACACACCCAGAAAATAAACAAGGAAAACCTCCACTTTAGACACACCTTACTGATAACACACTTCTTATGGAAAAAAAATAATAATTTACTATAGAAATATTTTTCAAATAAAAATTTTAGATAAGTAGTTTAAATCCTTAAGGATATTAACTGAGCAAAAATTATTTTGTAAATTTTTTTGTATTAATTTCTTAAAAGTAGTGTCTTACAGTAAGTTAGAAAAGACATTTAACATATTTTAATCTAAGATTGAGACACCCATTTCAAACATTTCCGTGTAGGCTATTTTAATCTAACTAAAGTCTATCAGATTTTTAAAAAATCTAAATGCATGTTGTTTTTGAAAATCTTTACATTTTGAAGGATTTTAAAAGGAGGGACTGCTTTCTTTTAAATTAAAATGACATTTGTTATGAGTTTATTATTTTTGGATTTATTATTTTTGGATTTTTAAACACTTCATTTTTAGATAATTTTAGATTTACAAAAGTTGCCAGAGACAGTATAGAATTCTGTATACTTACCACCCAGTTTCCCCTAATATTAACGTCTTATATAACTAAGATACATTAATCAAAACTAGGAAATTAGTGTAGATAATAATATGATCAACTGAACAATAGTCTTCATTCACATTTCACCAGTTTTTTCACTAAAGTCTTTTTTCTATTCCAGGATCCAATCCAGACACCACATTAAAACAGACTTTTTGTGACTTAGGACTCCTGGGTCAAATTTTCCAAGATAATTTACTCTTTTATAACCATAAAAGTTGTACATATGCTTCTTGTGATTTTAAGCCTGAATCTGCTCACTTCCCCGGGGGAACATACTCACACCTAGATATGCAGGCAAATATTCACCAAATTTGTTCCACTCAAGAGAGTGAGCTATTAAGAGCAGGGATCTAGAAACAGCCTAGGATCAAATGCTCCAAGATTTTCTACCACTTTCTAACTGTGGAAACTTGGTCACCAAGTTACTGGGTCTCTTGATTCCTTTGTATCTTCATCTAAAAAACATGGATAATAGTAGTACTAACTCAAAGGGTTGTTGATAATTGAGTGTTGGTATGAGTAGAATGCTTAAGAGAGCCTGGCACACAGTAAACGTACAACATACTACGCATGTTGGTATTGTCACATGCAGGTTTGCATGCTGCACCCACCAACGCAATGACTTGGGTTCAATAAGAGGAGGAAACAAATCCCATGAGCCAAACTCCAAATTTCTTTGATATTGAGATATTCCTACTTAAGTTAGCTGGTTGAAACTTTCTACTTATTTAAAGGAGAAGATACTTGTGGTAGTTGGGTCCATAGCCTAGTTCACAAGAAGCTATTTAAATAAAAGTATCTTAAATAGAACATTAATAGTATGGAATCTATAACAAAGTTCTCCCAGATGTCATGTCTCTCATGGTTGTAAAGGAGGGAATATTTCTTCTCATTGGCTGGAAGACTAGAAATGTACAATAATGAAGGAACCAAAGTAAAAATCTAGCCTTCCCCCACTTTTCCTTTAGTAACTTGTGCCCTAGTAGAACTGAATTGAGGAGGGTGTGAGAGGGTTTCCGGTAGCAGTTGTCCAAGGTGGAAGGGAAGGGAGAAGAGAAGTCCCCGTGGGTGTCGGGTCACAAGGGGAGCCTCTCCTGAATGGCCATTGCACACAGAAATACAGAAGTTGGAAACTGCCAGGACTTCAAAACTCTACATTCTATTTTTAAAATATCTTTATGAGCTATAATTCACATACCATAAAATTCACCCATTCAAAGTGTACACTCAATATTTACATTGTTGAATATGTATAAAATCAACTTTCTGGATAGCTTAGTTTAACTAGGTTTCACTTAGCTTACATTGAGGTTTCAAACTATCCAAGGCTGTTGCAATCACCAAATCCCACAATTTCAACTTCACAGGAAATATTCCTGCCCCTCTCAAGTTAAAGCAACACCTTCAAACTCTGATAGAATCACTATGAAAACAATGTATTCTGCTTACTCTATTTCTGTGTTTTTCAGAGAAAAAAAGTTTTACTCCCCCAAACCCCAGGAGTGAACCACTTACAACAGTCATGTAATGTAGCATTCGGCCGTCTACCCGCCCTTCATCAAACTGGGTCTTATACTGGGGGAGGCCAATATCATCCAACCATCCTAAAGGAGAGAAACCAGTGTCATTACCACACCACAAAATACCTGTTCTTGTGATTAAAAAGAAAAAGCAGTGCAAGTGTGCGCTCTCTCTCTCTCTCTCTCTCTCTCTCTCTCTCTCTCTCTCTCTATATATATATATATATTTTTTTTTTTTTTTTTTAAATAAAAATCCTCTTACTAGTGACCCAGTTGAAATCCAGCTTTCCATGATTGGTTTCTTCTTCAGATCCCAGGGCTTGCAGTGCCAACTGGAGTTTCTTTCGATGAAGTGAATGCTTGATTCCAAGTTCCTGAAACAATAAACAGAAACACTGACTTTATAATTCTACCTACATGGCCTGGATACCACTGGCAAAGGATGCAAATTCCTCTAAAACAAAGAGACCCAATTCTACATTAAATTAGAATACTAACTTGGGCTACTAAAATGTTGCCGACAAAAAAGCCCCTAGAAAGCCAAGACGTCCACAACCAGTTTAGTGGTGTGTTAGACATTCCCCAGTGACTCATTTTCTTTGTAAGACAGGAACTGTAGCATCCATAATAGAAACTGTACTCTTACTTTGTACAAAATGATAAATAATTGGGAAGAAATGTTAAATAACTGGACATAAAATGTAGGTTGTTTTTTTTTTTTCCTTTTGCAAAGTGAAGTTGAATTGCATGAATTACATGGAGAAGACAGGCCAATGATAAAGCCACAAAATGATTTTGAGAAATATGAGCTTAAGGTTTATTATTATGGCCATATAATTACTTTTCATTAAAATGCCGAGTGGCTTAAGTGTTCCATAAGGAATCATCAAGACCAGGTCTTTCCTTTTAAGTCCATGAGATAAAATAAGCATAAAGCAGTTGAAAACCCAAACTTTTTACTGGCTCCACCTATGCTCCTTTCTGGAATATAAAACAATCCTACATTCATATTATCTTTCTCTTGGTATCCATTCTGTAAACAAAACAGAGTAGCAATCACCTTCTCTAGATCTTGTTGAGAAGCCTGCAAAAGTGTTTGGCCAGATGCAATCCAGTGCTTGCCAGAATTCAGGTAGGACCCCAAACCCTGTTCCACGAGCCAATTGCAAACTTGCTCCTTGGTCCATTTGGCAAATGGCATATCCAAGTCACTACAAGAAAATGAACAATTGTACAAAAAA